GTGGGAAGAGACTGGACAAAAATCGTACACCTATGGATGAGGTCAGTGGGGGGGCGGGTAAGGGCAGAGGGTGGGGTGGAAACCGGGTGGAGGGGAGCTATGGGGGGAAAAAAGAGGAACAACTGTAATCTGAACAATAAAGATTTAATTTAAAAAACAAACAAACAAACAAAAAAAACCCAAAAAAAAAACCCGGGGCACTTAGTTCTGCTTTGAATTTGCTCACTGGCCTCTCTTCTCTGGAGAATAATTTTAGTTTGATGAGAAAACCCTCGGGGTGTTAGTCCTGCAATTCCACTGCGTGGTTTCGCGTTAGTGCTGCTCTGGGGGCCTGGGTGAGCTTGGCGTCGTCACTGCATTCAGGCCTGGGGGACGTGGTGACAAAGGAGGACTGGGTGTCCTGTCGTCTTCTGTGGTCTGGGGGTCTGTCCTGGGGGACTGTGGGGAGGGACAGGGCGAGGCCTTGGGGACAGGGAGCTTGAGGCTCACAAACCTGTGCGGCCTCAGCCTCAGGGTGAACAAGGTGCATCCAGGTGGCAGCAGGCCCGCAGGAGGCTCAGCTGGCATCATTGATGAGAGTCCGAGAGGGATCCAGCAGGCGCTCTCGCTCGCCCTCCTCTGCTGGGGACTGGCCGCGGGACAGGCGTGCCAGCAGCGGGCGGTGCAGCCCGTTGTAGAGGGCAGTGCCCGTCAGGAGGATGAGGAAGCCGAGGATCTGCAGCGGGTGGAAGGCCTCCCAGCCCAGCGCCAGGCTCAGTGCCCAGATGACGACGGTCCGCAGGCTGTCCAGCACCATGCGGGTGGTGGCACTCATCTCCTTGGTGACGCTGATGCCCGCAAAGTTGAAGAAGGCGATGCTGCTGATGTTGCCCAGCAGCGCCAGGGCGATGAGCGGCTGCCGGCCCACCTGGCAGAAGGCGTCCAGGGCGTCCTCCAGCATCCCTCGAGGGTTTCCGCTAAAGGAGCCGGCAGGGATGTAGTACATGGGCACCAGCAGCAGGGACAGGATCACGAAGCCAAAGAGGCCTGGGGAGAGAAGGGAGCACGTCACACTCTCTGCTTGGCCCTGACTCCCACTCCCAGCACATCGGGGCCAGCAGGCCCCCCCTCATCTCCTGCCACCCGTCCTCGTGGCCCCCACACCAGGGCCTTCCTCTCAGGGCCGAGAGCCGTCCCCTCTCATCCGGAGTTCACAGCGGCCACTGAATGGGCTCCAGCTGCCCTTCTCCACGTTAACCCACATTTTCCGACTACACCAGGAGAAGTGCATTTTACGTTGCGGCCAGTATACGCATGCACAGGCACACACACACACACGTGTGCTTTCACAGAACAGCAGCTACCCTTACAGTGTGCAATGCTCTCTGACTTCTCAATTCCAGTCTACTCGTTTAAAAAAGAATTGCTGGTCATCACCACTACGGTGCCCACGAGTGTGGAAAACCGCTCTCATTCAGCGTCACTGGCCTGTGATAAGGAGCTGAACCAGAATGTAAATCAATGCACCGCTTCATTCAGAAAGTCTGGCTAGGGAAAAAAGGAGCAGAAACAGAGTATCCGTGACAATGTCGGTGATGTAGTTATGAACATTCTGCCGTAGCCCTCAGCTCACTGTGGGCCAGGCACAGAGAGCAACCTGACGAGGCCACAGGCCACATTTGGTAGCATTGCTCTAATCCTCCCTGCTAGTTTCATATTTTTAAAGCATAATTTTAATAGTTATTTCCCTGCTTTAAAACCTCTGGTGGTTCTTCCCTGCCTGTCACTTAAATTCACTTGCCTGATGTTTAAGGTTCTCCATATGAACTTGACCTGATCATTCTCCCAACATCAAACCTGCATCTCGCCCAAACGATTCCTCACTGGGTTGTAAACTCAGGTCCAGCTCCCCATGTCTTCGCTCTGTCTGGGGTTCCCTCCTTCCTACTCTGCCTGTTGAAATTGCAGCTCAAATGCCACCTTCCCTGACCCAAGGCGCTCAGGTAGGCTTGGCAGGTGCAACATCACTTGAGCACAGGTGGCCCGAGCTCAAACCACTGCTTGGTCACTTCTTGCTGGTCAGCGCCCCTAGAGTGAGGCTTACAACTAATTCATCTTCAGCCTCATCCTCCCTGAGCTCCTGGCCATGTGCACGACGTACGTGGCGAAGGGAGGAAGGAAGCGGGGCAGGATGCTCACCCCTCCCAGTGGTCCCTGGCACCTGGACCTGTGCTCCTACATGTGAGTTCACTCCACATGCTACCCTCCAGTGTGCCCCCGACCAGCGCCCTCCCCCCAGCCCCTGCGCTCACTCACCCTCCGTGCCAACTGCCCGCAGAGGGTGCACATTGTGCTTGTAGACGAACTTCTCCTCGAGCACCATCTGGATGGAGACGATGATCTGGGCCATGATGATCAGCAGGTCCCCTGTGGGAAAGGACCAACAGGCCCAGGGTGAGGGGGGCAGCGAGCCAGAAGGGGCTGTGGACAGGGTGGTGGGCCCAAAGCTGAGGGAAGACGGCCCCCAAGGGGACAGAACAACAGCCCATGACTTTTGCAGGACAATACAGTTCACGAGGCACAGTCATAACATAACTAATCTGCTGGCCCCCCGGGGGTGGGGGTAGGTTGATAAGGCAGCACCTCACCCCCTCTGGGCTGAGGTCCCAGAAGGCCCAGAGGCCTGCAGAATGGGGTAAGCAGGTCTTTTGAGCACAGGCGTGGAAACAAACATTTCTGGATTAATCCTACCTCTGAGTGACCAGGGTGGTCACTTCATTGTAGAATGGGCTGCACTGCTTTCTTTCTGGAGTAAGTGCTCAATACATGTTCATCTCTCTCCTCCCCCAAATCCAGCGGTTTGGGTGCAGACAGGTACATCACAGCACACGCTCTCTGCTTCCTCTGACCCCCGGTTCCTTATCTACCCATTTCTCATGCTGCTTGGGCCTCTGGCCTCCCCTACACTCTATTTGCCAACTTGAGAGCAGGTGCATGTCCACAGCAGTGGGTCCCCACAGGCCCACCCAGGGCTTGGCATGCAGCAGAGCTTGTAACAGCTTGTTGATTGGCTCTGTGCTGGGCTCCTAGAGGACAGGAAGGGCGGCCCCTGGGTCCCAACCCCGCTGCACCTGTGATCACTTCGCTGAGCTTGTGCTGATCGTCGTGCTTGCTCAGGAGGTCGGCCAGGCCCACGACCACCAGCCCCGCGATGGTGGCGAGGATGCCCAGCCACTGGCTCAGCACCAGCCTCCGCCCCAGGAAGGCCACTGAGAACAGGCCTGTGAATATGATCACTGCTCCCCGCAGCATCTGGAAACTGGAGGCGCTGGTCATGTTCAGGGCTGGGAGAGGAGACACGTGACATTAGTTCCTGAGAGTCAAGGCTGTCTGTCCGCCGAGGTGTTCTCGGGGTGAAGACATGACTCCCACGTGGTATGTGCTCAGTGAATCTCGGGTGAGCGTGCGTTTGTGAAAGTCTGTGGGAGAGGGCCGGGGTGGTGAAGATGAGCTGGGGTGGGAGTGGCTGTTTCATCAATGGCCCCCTTGGGTCATGGGCTTCTCTGAGCCCTACTTGGCCTGGCCTGGCTACTCACCCACATACATGATGCTGGTCCCGGTCATGTCGCAAAGGGCTGGGGCCAGGAAAAGAAGGGGGTTGAAGGGCTGCTGGGGATCCATGCTGGCATCTGAGTACCTCGCGGCTCTGCACCGGAGCAGGTAGAAGGCAGCCAGGCAGGAGAACTCCCCCAGGAACATGCCCACCGCCTGCAGGGACAGAACCCTAGGAGTTTAGAGCTGGAGGGAGGGTCACCTTCAACAAAAATATTTTAAACATAACCTTTCTTCAAACAGGAGCTTACCTATAACCCCAACACATAGAACTGGCACAAGCAACGCTGCTGTGTGTGGGAGGCCAGACTGCCGCCTGGGTCACCCCTCAGCCCCTTGAACATCTTGACACAAACCCTAAGGCTGTGTAGAGCCTTGTCTGAAAACCGCTGATCTAGGCCAACCCCTGGTCAAGTTCCAGATGGATAAACAGGCCCAGAGAGGCTCAGGAATTTATTTAAGGTCACAGAGCAAGTTGCTGGCAGAGCTGGGCTGAAATCCGGGTCTCCTACTTCCCTGTGGAGCAATAAGGTGCCTCCTATTTATGGTCCCTGTCCCTGTGGGGTCTGGGCTCCCGATGGATGGAGAGCAGGTTTTGCCATGAGGGTTGATGTTTTCCAAATGTGTCCTGACTTAGACGTGGTGAGGGCTGGCCTCACGGTGCCCACTCAGGCCTCTCACGGAGGACTGTGCCCTCTGCCCCTTCCAGGGCACGCACACTCTGGCCTCTCTTCTGGGGAGGGAGAGAGACGTGGCTAGCTCTCCTGGGAGCAGGGGGAGACTCCACCCCCAGGACCGGAAACAGCAGGGCCTCCGGGGCCAGGAGGCCTGGGTGACAGGAGGTGGGGAGGATTGGGAGGTGGGGAGGGTCGTGGGGAGGGTGGGGCAGGTACCTGGAGGAAGGGGTGCTGGAAGCTGTGCTCCTTGCTTCCTCCACAGCCCTGGGCCACGAAGTTGTCAGCCCACCTGCAGCAGAGAGAGAAGGTCAAACCCTGTAGCGCAGCGGGTGCCTGCGGACAAGCTTGCTCCTCCCAAGGCCAAAGGCCATAGTTGGGGGACTGGGCCCAGAGTGGGGCTCCCTCTCAAAGGGGCCAGTCTCCGCGCAAGGAGTCTTCATCTGGGGGTGTGGACAGAATGTGGGGACTTGAGAACCTTTCGCTGAAATGTCATGAACCTCTAACTGAAATTAAGCTTTCCCTCAAATTCTGAACGCAGCATTGTAGCACTGGGGCTTTGTCACAGAAACCACAGCTAGTCTCACGACCCCACGAGGGTCGTTGCGGATGCTGGGAAGTATCATCACACTCATCACTGCTCCAAATTTATAGTAATTAGGCCCACTGTTTACAATTTTATGTGCTAAGAAGCATATAGACCCATATTACTATCATGAACTTGCCCTTTTAATGTTCTGATAACTTCATGTCAGCATACTTGGCTTTTTCTGTGATCCTCAGTCTTTTATTTGCACATTTTAAAACATTACTTTAGGATTCACCAGATTATCAAAGAGACATACAGCACAACAATATCAGGAATCACTGGTCTCCAAGGGCACTGGGGCCTGGGAAATGCCGCCTGACGCAGACACCTGGTCACCTTCCTGTGACCGGAAGGCTTGGAGGGTCTTTCCAGTGCAGACGCGAAGGCAGATGGCAAGTGCCCGGCACCAGTGAGCACCCTGGCAGACGGCATAACTGCTTATGGCTCGCTTCCCCAAAGAGCCCACACAGGCCCAGAATCCTTCACGGCCCAGGGCGCTGGACAGCTCCCACCAACATTCTGCGTCGTCTGCCGTCTGTGCACTGAAGTTCCGTCCTTGGGTTTCATTTTTGCTGGGCTTGGTTGTGTCCCTGTGGTCTAGTATGATCTCTCTCATTTGAAAGCCCTTCCGAGATTTGGGGACGTTTCCACCTTCTGATTGTTCTAATCTCCTGGCTAAACAGCCCAGCCCTTCCTAACCTCTCACTTCCCTGGCTGCTGGCTTCTGGAAGCGCGCTGGCGGGCCAGGCCCCGAGCCAGGGGCATGTGATCTGGCCCAGACTGAGCCTGGAGAGACAGTGACCCCTCTCTCACGTGGGATGCCCTGGTTAGTTGACACGACTGTCTGCTGACTCAAGTTAGTTGACACAACTTGGACTGCGTCATACTGCTGACTCAAGTCACTCAGACCCACGGCTGCTTCCTGTGGGCTGCTGGCCGGCTCCCTCTGCAGCACCCACCGAAGGCAGAGGCTGTCTCTAAACGAAGAGATTCAGGACTTCTCCCAAAAAGTCGGTCAAGAGCAGCCACACTGCAGTGCCCAGCCCGACTCCAGAGGCATCCTTGCACAAGCAGGGGAGCCTTCTGCTTCCTGTGCCCCCCACAGAGCCACAACCCTGGTTGTGCCAAGCAGTTATGAGTCTGGGTTTGACACACATCCTGGCCAGCCCTGGCTTCTCTGTGCCCTGAGTTTGGGGAGGGGAACAGGAAGGTCTTTCCCACAGCCCAGGGCAAGGGCACGATGCCCGGATGCTGGCAGTGGGAGGGCGAGTTGAGTGGTGATGGAGCTCCTGGTCACCCGGGAGGGCAGCCCAGGCCTATGAGGGAGAGACCACATCTACCCAGGTATCCGAACACATCCCAGGGTGAGTGAGCAAACAGGGCTAAGGCCACCTTATCTCACAGAGGGAGACCCCCACCCACTCCCCGAGATGGGGGTGAGAGGGGCAGTTAGGAGGGCTCGTGGTTCTTGGGAATGACGAGGCCCAAAGGAGAGCTGCAGGGCGGGGAGAGGTTCTGACGTGACTGGCTGGGAAGGCAGAGAGGAATCCGGGTCAGGGGACCGGCTACAACCAGTCCCAGCACCAATGGAGGAAGGCAGCCCTCGCTGCAGAATAAAACCACCCGCTCTCTGGGGTCTCATTTCTGCCCGATCTGCTACAGGTCCCCAGGGAGGGCAGGACATGGGACGTGGGTGGGGGCCACAGACAGCTGTGGCTCAGGGCAGGCATGGTTTGCAAGCTGCTCGCTTTTGCAGAAGAGCCCCCTGGGCGGGTCTGGGGGAGTGAGACAGAGAAGGAGTGAAGAGGTCAAACCTCACCCAGGGCACAGAGCCAACTTCCCCGGACGAACGGAGCAGGTTGGAGAGGCGGGAATTCCTGGGGCTGGAGCCAGGGCTCCTCCAGGAGGGCTAAGGGAGGTCCTGCCAAGTCCATCGGGTCAACCAGAAGCTTTGGTATGGAAGCCCTTCCTCATCCAGAGCAGAGATTGGCAGGTTCAAGATGACAACTCACATCTGTCTCACTCTCTGGTTCCACACTCACTGTCACTTAGAGTAAGTTCAGCATCCAGCAGCTCCCACGTCTCTGTCCCCTGCTCCTGGCACATCACTATACAGAAGCTCCAACATTTTTTGGTTGAATGAATGAGACTTCCAGACCCCTCCAAGCAAGCAGGCAGGTACTAGGTGCAGCCCAGAGGCAATGTCTCATGAGTCCTAATTTCCCACCTGGTCTAAGGTGCCCACTGCTGGTGGGACAAGCTGGGCCCAGGGTGGGGCACTGCGTGGGGAGCTGGATGCAGGGTTGGTGCTGAGCTCCTCCCCTCCCCCACCTCCACCCTAAAGAGCTGTCTTTGCTTTCTCCCAGGGGTGGGTCTGCCTGGACAGGTTGGGGCTGGCAGCATTCCCAGCTGGGGAAAAGGAGTCTTTTTGTATCTGAGGGCCTGGGGATGGCTCACAGCCCAAGGGATTAGGTGTCATGGGGACAGGCTGCCCTGCCCAGGCTCTCTTCAGCCCGGGAGGAGATCAGGCCAGCGGACACTTTGAGAGGAATTAGGCTTCACATCCTGGCCCTGAGACAGACCTCAGTTCATTGTGCAGGCACAGGAGGGCCTCAGTAGCCCAGAACAAGAGCCAAAATCCAGCCCAGTCCATCTGGGGGTGACAGCAATGACCCTAACGTGGGATAGTTCTTGGCTATTTGCAAATCATGTCACTAAGATGTTTTTATAAATACAGGGTTCACTGAGTACTGACTTGGTGCCAGGACTGTGCCCAGCACTTCCCGAGGGTTGTCTGCTCGAAGCCTCACAGGGATCCTCGTTTTACAGATGGGGACTTCAAGGTGTGGGGTGGAGGGGTGGAGAGAGGCGTGTTTAGGCTCAGACAGTTAACAACAGGCCCAAACCCATGTGCTGACATTCACATTCAGAAAAGGCAACAGGCTACCTGGAAAGCTGATTTTGAGTTTCATAGGCTGGACAAGTTACAGTGTTCTTATCTATAAAATGGGGATAATACTGCCCTAGCCGGTTTTGCTCAGTGGATAGAGCATCGGCCTGTGGACTGAAGGGCCCCAGGTTCGATTTTGGTCAAGGGCACATGCCCAGGTTTCGGGCTTGATCCCCAGTAGGGGGTGTGCAGGAGGCAGCCGATCAATGATTCTCTCTCATCATTGATGTTTCTCTCTCTCTCTCCCTCTCCCTTCCTCTTTGAAATCAATATATATATATTTTAAAAATGGGGCTAATACTAATGAATTGTCAAAAGTAATAAATAAGATATGTAAGACCAGGTACATGGCAGGTGGTCAATCAAAGTTCTTTTCTGCGCCTCTTCCCTTTCCCCTTGATTGAGCAGGAGCCACCGCCCCTTGTGGTACACCAGGCTCTGCTCCCGCCTAAAAGCTCTGGAAGAGCATCCCTCCTCCGGGGAGCATCCTTCCTCCGGGGAGCATCCCTTCTCCGGGAGCATCCCTTCTCCAGTAGCACATCCTTTCTCTGGGACCTACCCTGCTGGCTGAGGCTGAGGTGGCTGGAAGGGCCTTAGCTACTGCCCCAGCAGTTCCAGAGTTGCAAAGAGGGTGAGAAACTCAGCCATCATCTCACAAAGCTCCTACTACACAGACGAGGAACCCAGGGACCAGAGAGGGCTGAGGAGCACAGGCCCGGGAGGTGCCCAGAAGGGCTGGTACCCAGGAGTCTCTCTACCTCCAGTTCCGAGCCCTCTCCTCACACTTGAGGTTCTCCTATCACCTGCTTATTCCAGTTTCTTTCCACTCCCCTGGCTGAGGTGGGGAAGGGGTTCAACTCTGCAGATGGGTCCTCCATTCTCTGTAGATACTGTTTCCAGGGGGAAAGCCATGTCTCCAGGGCAGGAGGCCGGTGGGGACCCACCAGGGTCAGGCTGAGGCCGCATGAGCAGGTGCCTCTCTTAGAGTTCCCTGGGCCTCGGCAGGCTGGGGTGGGCTCCCCTTGATGAGGGTGAGTCACTATACATGGCCTTGCCCAGTCAAACTCAAAGCTCCGCATTCTGAGAGGCGAGCGTATCTATGTGTGTGTGTGTGGGTGGGGGAGGGGTTGGACTGAGATGAGGAAGTGGCTGCCCCAGACTGATTGGCTGTGTGTCCATTCCCCACAGAATCTCTGCCATTTCCTCTTGAGTTCCCGGCTTGTCAAGCCCAGTGAGTCAGCGCCTTTCTCCCACAGAGGGATCTATAGAAGGGCCCAGGGCTTCTCCGCTCTCTAGGGTAACCTGGCTCACGTGGTGATAAATGAGAATGAGCCCTCTCTAAGTAAATCAGAAAATCTTCCTCAGTAGATTTTACCTGCGTCTGGGAAAAGGTGGAAGTCCCACTCAAGAGAGAGGGACTTTGGGGTACAGCAATTATAAAGGAATAGGACTGGACCACAATGCTGAGACCTAGGTTCTGGTCCCTGCTCTGACCCAGCCAGCTGAGACACAAAAAGAAGCTTCTCTTGGGACCTCGACTGTAAATTGTGGGGGTTAGAATGGATGATTTCTATGTTTCTAACAACTCCAAATGCCCCCCCAAAATGACTAGAGAAGTCCCCAGCCTCGTCCCATGTTGGTGATTAAGAGCATGGATTCTAGAGTGGACTACTTATATAAAAGCCTAATATGCTAAGTGTCCGACTGAGTAGTCGATGACCAGTCGTTACGATGTGCACTGACCACGAGTGGGCAGATGCTCCAACTGGTAGGTTAGCTTGCTGCTGGGGTCCAGCCGATCGGGACTGGGTGAGGCGGGGCCGGACACGCCCTGGAGCCCTCCCTCGGTCCCTCCCCAGCCACCGGCCCTGATTGGGACTGGACAAGATGGCCCCGATGGCCCTGCTCTCCAGCTAGGCGGAGGGCCCCCAGCTGTGCATGGACTTTCATGCACTGGGCTTCTAGTAAATTCTAGAATAGCTGAGTTGAACGTGGGCAGGCAAGTCCATCTTTCCATACCAGTTTCCTGATCCAGGGACAAGGAGTTTACCTACTTCATAGGATGGCAATAAGAACTCATTAATTTAACACACGAA